AAAAAAAAAAAAAAAAAAAAAAAAAAAAAAGTTGCCCTTGCCTCCAATCTGGAGAGAGAAAGGCCATTTCCATGAAATGAATAGAGCTCAGCAATGAACAAGATGCTGATTCTGTGACATCAAAATTAAGACAAGTACATAGTAGGTCCTTGAATGAAGGTCCTTTAAGAATGGGCAGTCTATAATTAGGTAAAGAAGAGAGAGGGTTTTTAGGAGGAAGGAAAAACATAGAATGAGAATTGTATATATGGAAAAGAATGTGAGACAAATGGGAAATCTTAAATATGTTTCAGTGTTACAAAAAGTAGATGATTTTCCAGGGGACAGCTTAGAGGCAGAGTTATTATATTAGTCTCTTGTTCATAGACCAGATTGATGGTAGCCTTTTCAAACTAGCTTCTAGGGGAGCCTGGGGAGCTCTGTTGGTTAAGCCTCCAACTCCTGGTTTTGGCTCAGGTCATGATCTGATGGTTCATGGGATTGTGCCCCGAATCAGGCTCTGTGCTGCTTGAGATTCTCTCTCTCCTTCGCTTCCTGTCCCTCCTCCCAACCCTCAATCATGTGCACATGCTCTCTTTCTCAAAATAAAGAAATGTAAAAAGAAAAACAAATACCTAGCTTTTAAAAATTATAAAAGTAGTATTTGCTCCCATTTTTTTAAATTCAAGGATAACTGTTTTTATGTTCCTCACATATTCTTCTGAAAGTGTTTTAATTTTTTAAAAAATTTATTTATTTTGAGAGACAGAGACAGCAAGCGGGGGAGAGAGAATCCCAAGCAGGCTCCTTGTTGGCAGTGCAGAGTGCAAGGTGGGGCTTGATCCCACAAACCACGAGATCATGACCTGAGCTGATATCAAGAGTTGGATGTTTAACTGAATGAGCCACCCATGCACCCCTGCTTTTTTTTTATGTTTTTTTTTTTTTTTTTTTGAGAGAGCAAACATGAGTGGGGGAGGGGCAGAGAGAGAGATGGAGACAGAATCGGAAGCAGGCTCTGGGCTCTGAGCTGATAGCAGAGAGCCCAATGTGGGGCTTGAACTCATGAACCATGCAATCATGACCTGAGCTGAAGTTGAATGCTTAACTGACTGAGCCACCCAGGTGCCCCTGATTTTTTCTTTTAGGTTTATTTCTTCATTTTGAGGTGGTGGGGGAGGGAGAGAATCCCAACCAGTCTCCACAGTGTCAGCACAGAGCCCACCCTGGGGCTCAGTCCCAGGAACTGGGAGATCACGACCTCAGCCAAAATCCAGAGTCTCACGCTCAACCTGAGCCACCCAGGCACCTTCTTCTGAAAGTGTCAAAACACATATATTTTTAAACGTATTTTTATATTTACATATTTTTATAAACACGTTTCATTTATATCTTCCTGAATGTGCGTTTTTGAATTGGTAATATGTCTTTGGGATCTTTCCATATTGTCACGTTAGAGTCACCTCATTTTAAAGCTGCATAGTGTTCAACTATGTGGATGTACATTACTTGTCTGCTGAACTACACAAAAACCTTATGGGTCTGGCACAGTGTGTTAACCTTTTTAAAAAACCTTTAGTAATAAAAATGAATTTTTATTATGGTAGATACGGTTCTCTGCAGGACGATATGTGTCGTGGGTATTTTCTTTCTATTTGCATACACACATTTCCATGCACCTCACCTACAGAAATGATAAAATCATTGCATTGGAAAGGACTTTGAAGGTCACTTGGAAAGGCAGCTTTTGTCCCCTTTGTACCATATGTACCCTGGGAGGTACGGTCCTTGTTAGAACTGGCCATTTGCTCACTATTGCTAGAGGTGGCCTTCCCACTGGAGACGCTTTCATCCGCAAGGAGCAGAATGGCAGACTTAGAAGAGCCTTCAACAGCGAGGGCACTGAAGTACCTCACACACAGGAAATCCAGAGGTCGGTGGTTGCAGGTTTGGTCGAAGAAGTGGCTCGACTGCTCCAACTCACGTAGGTTTCCCGTCAGAGTTTTCCCAGATCATGCTCCTGGACATCCCAGCTTCAGGTGGTTGTGTTCAAAGGCAGCTGGACCGAAGAGCAATTTCTGTCCACATGTCAGAAAGGAGATCTCGTCCCAGAAGCCTCATGTCAGACCTCCCCTCCCATCCTTTTGGCCAGAACCATGTCACGTGACCAAGCTATGGACGTGCTAAATGCTGGGAAAGCGAGCATCAGCAGTGTTCTGTGTCTGAAGAGAATGATGAGTGTTCTCGGCTGGTTGAAAGGGGTTGGGCAGATATTGAGCAGATACTCTAGCGGTGGCTAGATGGCCAGTATCACTTTTGGATAGAGTAAAAGTCTATTTCTTGGTAACCCCACTTTGGGTGTTTGTTAAGCTTTATAAGCTATCTTTAAAGAACAAGACTTACAGCGAAATAAATACGTAGAAAGCTATACTGTCTCCCATTGGTCCCTTCCTCCACACTCTGTAACCAAGTGGAGAAAAATACACAGGATCACTGTTTCCTGTGGCTCACAATTTCCCCCTGCGTTTTGCATTAGACTCTATCGGCTGCATTGCTTCCTAAGGTTTTTTCCTTATGGGAATTAATCAAAATTGAACTGCTCCCATGTTTATTGATTTTGCTACTACTGTGGCATCCCAGCTCCCTGAAATAATTCGTTGGTAGAAATAAACAGGTCAGAAAGTCTACCAAATAATTTGGATTAGAGTTCTGTGGACAAGTTGATCTTTGTATCATTTTAGGTTGATCTGCAGGGATGCTATAAATTTAACTATGACATATATCTTTTTTCCCTTTTCATTCATTATCTTCATACTTTTCAAAGACCCCTGATTTAGAATAGGTGGTAAATCGGTAGGTGATGTGGGAGTCTTTAATTCTAATTTATATACCAACCTTCATTTCTTTGGGCTTTAATGTTTGTGGAGCAGTTATAAGAGTTTGAAAGAAAATATAAATGGTATGGAAATAAAGGGTCAAGACCTTGGAGCATATGTGTGTCACTGTCCCCTTGACTCTTCAACCAGGCTGTCCCAAAGTTTTAGGGACTTCTCAAGGATCCATCTCTCTTGGGGTCTGAGGACCTATGAATCATAGGCTTCCCTTTTCTCATTATGTCTGGCCTATCATTCTCGAACCCCAACTCCCCCAAATTATTAGATAAGAAACTATGTAAGGATGCTCTTTTTGAATAGTGAGCATAGATCTGATTGTTACATTTTCTAGATGAAAGATTAATGGAGACAGTGTTTGCTGGAACATTTTGGACTTATTTCCCTTAATACTGAATTTGTAAAATTATTACCTTTAAAACTAAGCTCATACTTAATGCCTTCATTTCCTTTGTGCTCCATTCTGAGGGTCCGTTTGCCTCCTGTGTGGAAATTTCCAAGAATCACAAGCCTGGGGAGATTTAAAACTGGAATCCCATCAGCTTAAAATTTGCAAAATACATTGGTTCAGAGAATAAAAAAGGACCACTCAACTCCTCAGATAACATCATTTTCCCAAGATATGTTCCCTTAAAGGTCACATTATATGATAAGATCATGGGGTCTGTTATGGAATAGAAAATAGAAAACTGAATAAGATTTGTAAACATTTGAATAGAATGACAGTGGGCTTAGCCCCAACTCCATATGCTTTCCTACAGGTCACATGAGTCTAGCCTATGTGGAGTGTATAACTATCATTTTATGGTCTATGAAAGTCCATACATTTTGTGTATAGAGCATGTGAATCTTTTACAAATGTCTCTAACTATCATATGGTAGGATATGCTACAGAATATCCAAATTGACAGGTAATTGGACTTCTTGGCTAAGCCATACCAGACGATCTTCGGTCCCTAAACTATTCTATTTCTTCCTTGCTCTTCCACTTCCCTCTAAGAAACCGAAGAAACTTCACTACTTCTTTCTCAGTGCCTAAAAGGACAAAATTCTCTGTGGATATTTTTCTTTTCTTTTACCTTGGTAGGTCCTTCAGGTCCAATTTTCCTCTAAGATGATACCCAAAATAATTATAGCAGGGACTTGAGATGTTGGCCTACTTTGAGTGCCGAACAAACGGTGAGAAGTATTCCAAAAACAACTGCAAATTTTGGTTGCCCTTATTTGTTCAGAAGGGCATTCCATTAGTACCTACTATGAGAAAGGCGGCAGGGCTGAGTGACCTTGTACGTGTGGATCCATTCTGAAGACAATCGTAGAAATAACTGCCCCTGAGTGTACCAAGCTTCCATAGGTGTCAGCCTATAATAGAAACATGAAGGGGGGAAACCCCCAAGCCTACGTGCAAGACAGATAAGCCATCACATTTTCTTTTTTTATACTTTAGAAGTTCACCTGGACCCCTGCCGAACATGGTGTCCTGTCGCAGACTGTCAGACAGTGTGCCCCGTTGCATCAAGTGACCCAGGGCAGCCAGTACTGGTGGAGTGTCCTTCTTGTCACCTGAAATTCTGCTCGTGTTGCAAGGATGCTTGGCACGCAGAAGCCTCCTGTAGAGATAGTCAGCCTGTTGTCCTGCCGACTGAGCACGGGTAAGAAGGGAACCGGCCTTTGGGATTATTCACTAGTTTTCTTAGAAACCCCAAATATGTCACTTGGCAAAGGACTTAATCTGGTGATGGGATGTAGAGATCGGTCATTTCCCTGTGGAACTTCCCTGAGAAGTGTCTCGGAATTGGTAAGTTGTTAACAAAGAATAATGGAAAAAGCATTTCTAAAGGGAATTTAGGTATTTACCCCTGGAGAATCTTCCAGATACTGCTGAAATTAGAGCTTGTATAAATTTTGATTTCTCTTTAGGCAGGGAGGTGCAGAGTCCACTGATTTTTCAGTAGGAAGTCACGGCTTGTCCACAGCTATTTGCTAAAGAACCAAGATCACCTGCTAGCGACAGACCTCGTTCTTTCTGCTTGCAAAGTGGTGCCAGGATTGTTTTCTTACCTGATTCTGTTGCCAGCTTGTGAGATGTGCCAGTCACGTCAGAGAGAGCACAGCAATAGAAACATTAGCCCTTCAGGGCAGGGCAGTGCTCGATTCATAGGTCCTAGAGGAAGAGAACTCATCTCTCATACTTTATGCTCTTAAAAGATGGTGCCAAGGTTCAGATTTTGTTACAACAAGCAGCAATTAAATCTGTCCCTTTCAGTACTTTCCCCCCCGCACCCTCCAAGTGTGTAGAATCATTCTTCTTGAATAGCAGCACTACCTGGCTACGCTACCGGGCTGGAATCTTAGACCAAACGATCAAGAAGAAAAATAGATCTTAATGTGCATGGCAGGTGTGGGTCCTCCTAGCCAGTACCTTCTGTGTTTTCACTGCCACGGCGGTAAGGTCTGTGGGTATCATATCACTGGGCAATGTAAAGAGTCTGGAGGAGAGAAGGGTTGAATTCTGAGATTGTCGCTTGGTGTCTATGTGACCTCCTATCAGTCACTCAGCCTCTATGAGTCTGTTTCTCTATTTGAAGAAAAGGGGGAGGGTAGGAATTAAAATACTAACTGTCCCACTGCTCTCTAAGGTCATCGTGAGTCCCAGATCTGATCCTGGATCTAACAACACTTTGTGAACTGGACGTCTCTGTGTGCTGGTTTAATGAACAGTGGCCAAAATGCATCCCAGGACAGTGGCTTCCCTAACCCTGCACCTCAGTTAGTTCCACTTATTTTCTGTGCCCTGTAAGGCTGCGAGCCTGTGCTGACCTAGTCATCCTTTTGGAGCTGGTCTCTTTAGTGACATTTATTTTATTTTATTATTTTTTTGAAGATTTTCTTTTTTTTCTTAAAGTAATCTCTACACCAAATGTGCTCCAACCCCAAGGTTAAGAGTCGCACACTGTACCAACTAAGGCAGCCAGGCACCCCAGGCTTTTCTTTAAAGTACTGATCATTGACTCCCCCAACCTCTTCCATCTGTTTATCTGAACAGATCACTAGATGGGTTTATCGGTGCTGCGACCCTGAGCTCCTTTTTCTGTTGTGTAGCAGACCACTTGCGTTTCTTAGTTAGACAGTGTGTGCTCAGGGAATGAGGTACTAATTTGGCAAAATAATGAGTTAGATCAGGTGTGGAAAATACAATTATATCATTCACTTCAAGCCAGAGATAAATAAAGGTTCTCTTCTGTTTGGAGTTATCTGAACAATGAATAATCTGTATCCCTCCCATTTTTACCCCCATCCTCTTCATGGAAGCAAATTAAGCACAGATAAGGGCTCCTACCCATCAGGATGGGTAGGAGCCCTGGGAATTCAGTTGATGACCATAAAATGAAGTCTAGAAAGGTGTTAGTTAGCTGTTTAATTCATTATACTCAGCTCACTCTTCCCCAGCTCTGGTAGTCTACCCTCTCGTGATTCTAGCTTTTTTTAAAATTTTGTTTAAATGTTTTTTATTTATTTCTGGGAGAGAGAGAGAGAGAGACAGCGTGAGCAGGGGAGGGTCAGAGAGAGAGGGAGTCACAGACTGAAACAGGCTCCAGGCTCTGAGCTGGCAGTCAGCACAGAGCCCGACGCGGGGCNGTTACAGTAATGTCTGGCACATAGCAGACATTTAGTAAGTATACTTTACATACATGAATAATGGAAAAATTACTATCATTGACACCATGGACTCTTTTTATAAGGTTTATTTATTTTATTTTATTTTATTTTATTTTTTAAATGTTTTATTTATTTCTAGGAGAGAGAGAGAGACAGCGTGAGCAGGGGAGGGCCAGAGAGAGAGGGTGTCACAGACTGAAACAGGCTCCAGGCTCTGAGCTGGCAGTCAGCACAGAGCCCGACGCGGGGCTCGAACCCACGAACCGCGAGATCACGACCTAAGCGAAAGTCGGACGCTTAACCGACTGAGCCACCCAGGAGCCCCGATTTCTTTTATTTTTTTAACATTTATATTTATTTTTGAGACAGAGACAGAGAATGAGTGGGGGAGGGGCAGATAGAGAGGGAGTCACAGACTGAAATAGGCTCCAGGCTCTGAGCTGTTAGCACAGAGCCCGACGCGGGGCTCGAACCCACGAACCGCGAGATCACGACCTAAGCGAAAGCTGGACGCTTAACCGACTGAGCCACCCAGGCGCCCTGTGGTTTTAGCTTTTAAAAAACTCAGGCAGCCTTCCCAATCCCCACCCTATAATTTCTTATGCATTTTGTTTCTAGGGCCCTCTTTGGGACAGACCCAGAAGCCCCCATTAAGCAATGCCCCGTCTGTCGGGTTTACATCGAACGCAACGAAGGCTGTGCTCAGATGATGTGCAAGAATTGCAAGCACACCTTTTGCTGGTACTGTCTCCAGAACCTGGATGTAAGTTCCACTCGGGAGTCTTCTCACGTGGTCTGTGTCTACACTGTATCGATGTGACCTCCAGGACCCACAGCCTTTCCTTTGAAACACGGAGCCTCTGTTTGTCCTACAAAAGACATTTACTTTTCTTAGTGATACTCTCTGAGCCCGCCATTTTAGATGTCTATAAAATCTCTCTTTGATTACCTTCACTTGTCACCTCAACTTTAAAGGCAAGCTTTTTGTTTTGTTTTGGTTTTGCTTTAGGGACATTTCCTGTTTTGGGAGCACTGTCTCCTCTTATTACATAAAGAACTATTAGTGTATTCATTTTACATTGCTGTTGTAACAAATTGCCAGAAACACAGTGGCTTAACACAACACAGATTTATTATCCTTCATTCTGTACCCTAGAAATCTGACGTGGGTCTCACTGGACTAAAATCATGGGGTCCTTAAGGCTGCATTCTTTTCTGGATTCTAGGAGAGCCTCCATTGCTTTGCTTTTTCCAGCTTCTAGAGGCTGCCTGCATTCGTTGGCCTGTGGCCCCTTTTGCCGTCTTCAAAGCCAGGCACATCACCTCTCTCCGACCCTTCTTCCATGGTCACGGCTCCCTCTGACCACAGCTGGGGAAGTGTCTCTGCCCTTATGGGCCCTGTGATTAGATTGGCCACATCTGGATGATACAGGCTGCACTCCCCCATGAAGGTCTTAGTGTCATCACACTTGTACGGTCGCTTTTGCCATGCAAGGGCAACGTGTTCTCAAATTCTGGGGATTAGGCCTCGGGCATCTGTAAGGCAGCCGCCTTTTTGCCTGCCGTACTTTGGTTGTTTTCCTCTTTCTGAATTTAAAGAAAAAAGCCGCTCAAATCCATGAGATGTCTTCAGTAACTACTTCATTCCTTGCCAAGACAGCAGCATGGCTATTGTTTTGTTGGGGTTGCCTTCCCAGACGCAGGGGTCTGCCCCCCTCTCTCCTTTCCCTCACCATTTGTGAAGCACGTCTTGCCCAATTCAAGTACAACTCATCCAGTCCTGGGCTAACGCTGATGGGAACCCCAGAGGTGAAAGGTTACATGAAGGCTGGGCGAGCAACTCTCGCTAAAATTCTAGCGTTTACTCTAGCACACGCGAGCCACCCCAAATAGGAACAGATACTCCCTATTTTGGCCATCTGGAATAGGAAAATGTGTCCATATCCGTGTGAGCCTCCATCATGGTGGTCGGTGGGGGAGGGCATTCTTTTCTCCAGTTTTCACTTCATTTGCTTAGTTTGCTTCAATTTAGTCAGCAGTTAGTATCACACACACCCAGGGAGTCAGAGTGCAGCTAATACAGGATGCGTGCTGCCCACCACATGCCTGGGTTTTAACTGAAAACTAGATGGGTTGTTTCAGACGACGTCTGTGAGTAAGAATTTTAATCAGCCTGATCTCAGTGTTGCAAGCAGAGGTATAAATTGGGGAAAAGAAAATGGACATTTTAGACTGTAGAAGCTCAGTTGCTCAGGTTGAAAGAAATGTTTCCATTTTTTTAAAAAAAATTCTATCATAACCCCCCGAATTATAATGAAGTGTGATATTTGAGACCTGTCATGATTCCAAATGTGAGATATTCTGGGTGAGGTTTTCACTGACTGCACACCCCTCATGTTTTATAAAGGGAAGAAATATTTTCTGTGTTCCTTCAGGTTTAACCGGAATATTAATTGGGCTCAAATCCACAAGGAGGCTGAGCCCATGAGCTTCTTTTTAAGAAGCAAGAATGTAAGGGAATAAATATGTGTGCCAGATCTCTCCATCCTTTGGCTAAAATACGTCTGGGGCATGATGTTGCAAAGAACACACTGTTCTGTTACTTGGACTGCTCTGCTGCTCAAGACGAAATGGTACAGATGTTAAAAGGCTGGATACACAGACCTTGAATATCTAAGCATCTTTTCCTGGTCATTGTTTCTCGAGATCTCATTTTCTCGGTTTTAGCCGGGGGCACGGCCCTGGTGGTAATGATGTTTTGCTCTCGACGAATATTCTGTGTCAGATGGTGGTGTTGATCTTTGTTTACGGGAAAGTTCCAGAGCAGTGGGTCTGGGAGCTGAAGGGCTGTCCAGGAGCCAAGCCTGAGACAGATCGCCACCCAGCGCGGTTCGGAGTCTTGCTGGGGTGTTGAGTTTGCTTCTGTCTTTGTCCCCATCCCGGCCTTTTTCAGAGGACGAGGTGTTCTTCATCTTCTGCTGTGGGGACCTCAGAGGCCCCGTCGGTTGCCTCTTCTCTCTCTTGTGACTCCAACTTCCAGTGACATCACATATGCAGCTGTGTCCCATTTAAAAATGAATCACGCTTTTCTCAAGCCTATGTGTCTCCCATACTGCCATCCTCCCTCCCTCCCTCTCTTGCTTTGAGCCAAGCCTCAAAACAGCATAATCACCTCCTGTCGTTGACACTTACTTAGCTCCAGTCATTGGAGTACACTCGGCTGGCCACAATGTCACTCCCTGACTGTATTTATTCTAAGGCTTGGGTGAATTCAAGGGTTATTTCAGTTCTCATCTTACCTAGACTCTCTGCTGCCTTTACCATTTTGACATCTCTTCTGGCTTCCCTTCTACCTTTCCAGCCACTTCTCCATTTCCTTCGCGGGCTCCTCCTTGACCCATTCTATTTGCTCTTCAGCCTACACTCTCTCCTTAGGTGATCTCATCTACTTCTGTGTTGTTTCCCGCCCCCCCGCCCCCGCATATGCCAGTTCCCACGGCTTTCCCCCAAAGTTCAGATCTGTGTAATCAGCTGCCTTTTGGACAGTACCACTTGGATGGCTCAAGGGTCTCTCGAGTTCAGCATGTCCAAAGTGTAGCATCATTGTCCCAACAAAGTTCATCTCTCTGTTGTCATTTCTCGTGGCCAGGCTCCTGCGTCTCCCCAGTGGCTTTCCCCTCACCCATGAGTTCTTCTCCTTCTCCCCCCACCCAATTAGTTACCGTCTCAGTGTCTCCTGTCTGCGTTTGCCGTCTCAGCCACTGGCATTTTTTCTCACTGCTCTGCTGCGGCTGCCTTCCAGCCAAGAAAGACTCTGGTCTTTATTCCACCCGTGCTAGAGTCACCTTCCAGAGAGGATTGGTCAGGACACGGATACTTTCTAGACTCAGTCAGGAGTCTTGTTGACTATGATCTCTTTTCACTCACTGCTTTGTAAAAGTACTGAGGTACGTTCTAAAGATTGGGGCCTTGGGATTCACGGAGGCTGTTCCTTAGTATCGCCCAAACGAGCGTTTGCTTCTGCCAAGCAAATATGGTTCGTGTTTGTTAGATCCAACGTGGTTAGTATTTGTGTCTCAATTCAAAACAGCATGTTTGTTGAAACTTCTCTCCTTGTTTTCCAGAATGACATTTTCCTCAGGCATTATGACAAAGGGCCGTGTAGGAATAAGCTTGGCCACTCAAGAGCTTCAGTGATGTGGAACCGAACTCAGGTACCTTGACCTTTAAGGAAGAGTGAGATACAGTGGACTTGAACTGGCTTAGAAAGCCCACCTGTTCTTCCTCCCCACCCTGTTCGCTACTTGCCCATCCAGCCCGGGAGGTTCTGGGGAGCCCTGAGCAGGGCCAGGGGAAAGGAAGGCAGCAACGGCCTGAAGTGAGTCCGTGAGCGTGATCCTCTTGCGGATGAGTAGGAGGGCAGGGTTTGGAGCAGCCAGGTCATTAACAGTGACCTGCAGAACGAAGGCAGACGTTCCCTCCTCCTGCAAAAATGGTAGAATGACTTTCCTAAAGCCCTGCAAGTCCCGTTTCCTGTAAAAGCCAGTGCTCTAAAAGCCTGTGAGCCCCAGCGGAGGCTCAGATCCCTCTGTACCTGCCCTTGTGTGTTTCCGTGGCAGATTCAAAGGGAGTCCTGGTTTATTTCTAATGGTGTTTCATATTTATGAAAGGCTGTGTTCTTTTAAGGCTGCCCGTGTTAATAGCCTAGTAATCATTATTAATATCCTGTGAGACTACCGAGGAAACTCAGGGAAAGAGAGAGAGAGAGCGCGCGCCAAGAGCAACAGTTCAGGGTTCCACGGAGCATGTGTCAGAGCTGGAGTTAGCGTCTGTTTGGTTCCCTCCCCTCCGATCTAGTTCTTGCTGTCGCCCCAGTTAGCATCCGGTTCAGATATTGGGCTCAAAGGTCCCTCGAATAAATTTTCTACGCTCTAGAATAAATTATCATAAACTGGGTGGCTTAAAAAAAAATAGAAAAGTCCTTCTCCCAGTTCCTGGAGACTCAAGGCTGGAGATTAAGATGCCTTTATGGTTGGGTTCTGGCGAGGACCCGCTTCCTGGCCTGTGGATGGCCTTCCTCTCACTGCGTCCTCACATGGCAGAGAGTGACGAGAGAGGAAGCAGCTCTCTAATATCTTTTTTTTTAATTTTAATTTTTATGTTTATTTTTGGGAGAGAGAGAGAGACAGAACATGAGTGGGGGAAGAGCAAAGAAGGAGGAAGACAAAGAATCCAAAGCAGGCTCCAGGCTCCCAGCTGTCAGCACAGAGCCCAGTGCAGGGCTCGAACTACGAACTGTTAGATCATGACTTGAGCCGAAGTCAGACACTTAACTGACTGAGCCACAGAAGCCCCTCTAATATCTTTATTAGGGCACTAATCTCAATCGTGAGGGCTCCATCCCTGTGTCCTAATTACCTCCCAGCGACCCTCCTTTCCAGATTCCATTGTATTAGAGATTAGGGTTTCAATATATGAATTCTGGGGGTGGAGGGGACACAAACATTCAGTCTTTAGCAGATGGTAGAGTAAACATACAGGAGGATTTAACTGCTAAAGTAGCCCTTTCTTCCGCATTTCCAGGTGGTGGGGATTCTGGTGGGACTGGGCATCATTGCCTTGGTGACTTCACCCCTGCTGCTCCTGGCCTCCCCCTGCATCATCTGTTGTGTCTGCAAGTCCTGTCGGGGCAAGAAGAAAAAGCACAGCCCATCCGCAACCTAGAGGTCTCTGTTCACGTCCGTGTGCCACAGATGTCCGGGGTTCTAACGAGAAGCACAGTGAGAAAGCCCCACTTAGTGAACTTGCCTCCTCCTTGCCAACCTTTGAAAAGTGCCTGTGTCCAGACTTTGAACTTGCCTTTGGCACCAGGAAAGGCCCAGCCCTGGCACACGTGTTCCCGTGTGAAAGAACTGGGCTGTGCCATCTAGGCTGTGTCTGTGGAACATGTCGGGAAGCTCTGGGGTTGCTGAGAAAGAACTGACCCACCATCGTTTTATTTGCCCCCCCCCCCCCCCCCCCCCAAGGATCCCACTGGATTATTTCACTTCTGGCCAGATTCAAGGAGCCGGAGTGAAGTGAACATTCAGTGTAATACATGTATTGTCGCGTTGGCCGCACACATCACAGCTGGGCATCCAGCGTCTGCTCTGTGTCAGTTTGACCTCGATCGCCAGGAGAAACGTGGGAGAAACCCCCGCTGTGGGAGGGAAAGAATGACACCGCTTAAGGGGAAATTGTCCCAAGAGCCGTGAAGCAGGCTGTGTAGCTTAGGAGTGGGTACGTTGGGCTCGGCCTCGGCCAGCCACCGGGTTCCCGGCATTCCCGCAGCGACTTGGCAGAAACACAATGGGTTGCTCCTTGTGTGATCTCAGCTTCAAGCACAAAACTGCTGTGCGGAGGGAGTCGCCTTTTCCCAGGGAGAGGGCTGCAGCCTGTAACACGATGCAGTCGGACCGAGTGGCTCTCCCCTGGCCAGTGCAGCTTTGCGAAGGTGATAAACTCTCCTCCTCCAGCCAGTAGCCCTGGTCTGTGGGATTGTTTTGTGTGAAATACGCGTCCAGGGGCAGAGAGGTTCAAAACCTTCATGTGGATAGCAGAGACCTTTTCTGAGCTCTGCGTTCATGCACCCAGCACATTTAGAATTGGACCTAAAAGTCCACAGCAAGAGTGAGTATCAAAGTCCGTGTGTGAGTCTAGAAATCCAGTATAACTTGCTGCCTACCTAGACCCTCCATCCACTGGGCATGCGTGAGTATATCCAGTGGCACACACAAAACAAATGTTTCCTGAAAGCCATTCTGTCTTCCCTTCTGGGACTAATACGCTTTATTAGAAATCAACCTGAAGATTTTTTTTTGCATATTATATATGTAAATTTTGGTTGCAAGTCATCACTTACTGAAAGGTATATACTCACAAACCCAACTCTTTTAAAACAACACCTCGCGGGATATCATGCCATCTCAGTGCATAAAAACACTGAGAATCAAGTTAGTTACATATTTTTAAACACAGTTCAAGCAGCTGTCAACAAAGTTTAATGTTGCTCTTGGAAGCCTCTGTCAGGGCGAGCCAAATACTTCCTGTGTGTACAAGGCACTGATCAAACAACAAAAAAACGTAAGAAGGAAACTGTAAATGCTTTATGTATCATAAATAGCTTGGGTCTGCATAGCCCCGTTGGGACTTAGTTTTCCCGTTATCTGTTGGTGAGATTTTTGAATACACGGGTTTTGAAAAGACTGTAATTTTTTCTCCGATGACAGGACACCATAATTGCCCTTAGTGACGTAGTCTGGTGCTTCATGGGAACACGTAAAACACTCTGGAGAGCTGTCCTCGGAACGAGGGACAGGCCATCTGGGACTGCCAGAACCCATGACATTTTCCCGAGGGAACTGGGTAACTAGGTTGTTAAATTGCTGCTCTCCTGGACCTATTATTAAGGACCGATGCTCTGCCTGTGTGATGGAATGTGTCCTCAGTGGGGATGTGTAGAGTTAAGGACCTTTGGTTCCCACGAGCATGTCGATACCTGATAAACGTATAGTACATCTCGATGTTGTGTACACTTTTATTTACCATTTGTACAGTACATAGATGAGGACTCTCGGAAAACTTTCAAATGGCAACCAACCAAAAGCATTTTTAATCTTTTTTTTTTTTTGGGGGGGGGGCGTCTCAATATTAAACGTCTTTCTTTTCCTTTGAAATTCTGAACACTTCAGAACAAGAATACCTTCTATCAATGTATTCCCTATTAGTATAAATAGAAATGTACATATATTTGGATAATTTGCTTTGTCTTAACACTGCCTCATTGTAGCACAGGGCATTTATAACTGCTCAGGGGATCACAGGAACTCAGCTGAAATTGAATTTTTGTATCAAGAATGTCAGCAGTGGTAATGTACTATTTTGCATGAGTGAACTCTCTAAGCTCTATTCTGCAAAGAATCTCTAAACAGGACTGATTTCAAGTAACCTAAAATCCTGTGTTATTAGAGGCGGAGCTTCTGGATTTTTTTTTTTTTTTTTTTTGTACGGGATAGGGTGTTGGGGGGTTGCTTTTTTGAAACAGATTTTAAACTGGATTTAAGTTTCTAAATATTGAAAAGTGCCTGGAAAGTAGTGACTTCTTCCTTAAATAGCTACACGAAGAGGCCTGTGTAAGATTGTCAGAATGAACAGGAATAGGTCAGTAGGTTTAAACCCAGATATATCTCTGGTGCCCCAAAGGGTGAGAGGCAAGCCGATCTAGAAACTTTGTTTACAAAGGAGAGAGCTGACACTTGGATAAAGAGACTGATGTTTTCATTTGGGATAATTGGCCAGTGAGAGAGTTTAACCTGTCTCCTTGCTCTGTCCATCAGCTACATCTTCTCCTAGTGATTCTCTTTCCAGACTAGGAAGAAAGGGATCTACATGACAATGTTTGGGTGTCGTGGCAAAAAAGTTTTGTGTTTGGAGTAGTACAGTCTATTTGAAATAGGAATCAGAACTCCTTCACCCAATTGTAATCTGGATGTAAGTGATAGCCCCCCATCTGGAAACACTAGCGGATGTAAGAGCACAACATGTAGCTGTCGCCCCTTCTGAGAATTTTTTTTCTTCTTATCAGGTAGGGAGGTCAGAGGAAAGCCATAGGGAAGCTGAATTTAGAATCCTAGGCATTCTGTTTGTTCACGCAATGGGTGTTAGCTCTGGACTTGAAATCTCTAGATAAAGAGGCCTTTGAAAAACAAGTAATTCACAGTGTGAATTTCCTTGTACCCTGCATCATGAAAATTTTACTTATCCACATTTGCAAGATGTATATGTTTATTTGAATGTAAATGACTGTTTCTTGAAACCCCAAATTGTCTCTTAAAACTTATTCCGATCTACATGCATCTTGTTTTACCCTTCTTTACACAGTGCTTGACTTTCTGTTCATGAATGGATGCCTTTATGTATATAGTCCCATGTATATATATGTGTAGCTCTGAAGATAATTTCATAATGCCTTAGATGAATGACATTTTATAAAGCTGTCAAATTGATGTCTGTAGGCTATTACATCTCATGTTGATTCACGATCCAGAAAGTTTTGTTATGTATTTAAGAAATTGCTGTTGTATTATATTTTTCTGATTATTTGAGAGGAAAATAGCTGTTTCAGTCTCTGTTGCCCCAATAAATGTGGAGCAGGAAAGCAAGTGTGGTTAACCTCTGTTGTGTTGTGCGTTTCTAGACATGTTTGATTTTATCCTCAAGGAACCACTAAGCACTATTACATCCTAGGTTCTGAATTTACAAAAAGTACCCAAATCTTTGATACCATTCGTGGAAATAACTCTTGCTACATTGTTTCTTAAAAGAACTGGGAAGTATAATGCCTTCACTTGCTGTAGACAATTTTGTTGTATGTGCGATATGCCACACTGTCAGGGCATGGGCATTGGTAATAACCCAGAGAAACAACCAATAATTTAGGTCTTTGATCATTCTAATAAAAATACCACCAGCGATCAAAGCCATTAGTTTTATAAAATGAGGGTTGGATTGTTGCTCTCTGCTCTGTTCTAACCTTCCATAAGTCTCTTGGAGGTTTATTGTATTTCCTTGTTACAAATTTTAAAAGATTTACATTAGTGTTAACTTAAGTGCATTTCCATTGGATTAGTGTTCAAGGCAGGACTCACCAAAGGTTGAGTGCCAAACCTTGGTTAACAACTAGAACTTGTGTTTGTGCAAAACTGAAAGTTCACATTCCTGTCTACTGGTGTTGATGCCTTTCTGTTGAACATGGGTTCAATTGTTGTGATGGGTTACCTGAGTATGAAGACTTAAGATTGACTTAGAATTCAAATTTCATTTTGTAATCATTCAGGTCTGAGGAAATCAGTAAGATCATATTAAAAGAGTTTTAGTTTATGGTTTCTTCGTTTCCTTCATCATTTCCTAGAATGTCAACATTATTTCATTTTTTGCTAGAGTCATTGTTTCCTAAACTTGAATTTGTATCCCCAAAGAATTACCAATGAACCACTTTATACAGCAGTGATTTCAATCAGTGCCCAACCAGCAAACTCATTGCCATGTGAATTAAGAGTCTAGTGAATCATTTATTTTCATTTGTAAGATAATACATTTATTTTTTAGCCCCCAAAGATGGTATCCAACTTTACATTATAAGCAAGAAATGAATTTCTTCAAGTAATTCAATAGCAATTATAATATGTTATATATATATATATATATATATATTTTTTTTTTACATGTTTCTTATAGGGCTTTTGAAAACAATCCTATGAGATAAATGGAGTAGATATTAGATCCGTTTCATCGAGGAAGCAGTGGTTTTATCTTCACATCTGCTCAAGGGCCACACTACTGATGAACAGCAGCCAGGAAAAGAACGTAAGACTCTTTCGAAATGCTTTTTTGCTTTCGTTAGTTAGTAATTCTGAGCCTGCCTTCACTCCTGGATCTGTGAGCCCCAAGAGGATGAACTCCACCCTCCGTTATCTGCATCAGTGGAGACATATGTAAGAGAATAATTTATTATTTCAAGTAAAGTAATCATTTAGAGTCTGTGTCTGACAGCCTACCTGGGGCAGGTGGCCACCCACGAGATCAACCCCAGTCACTCCCTGGGGTTTGAGGATCTTGCTAATATTGGAAGTAGAATCACAGGTGGGTCCATGTACTTACTTACTTTAGATGCCAAACTGTTTGGCTCTTCTCCACAATATGAAGTGTGGTCTCACCGTTTCCTTTAATGTTTACAGTCAACACTCATGGTGATTGTTAATTCAAATCCAAATCCTTTCCTTTTAACATTACCAACTTAGGGGCATCTGGGTGGCTCAATTGGTTAAGAGTCTGACTCTTGATTTCAACTCGGGTCATGATCTCAGGGTTCTTGAGATGGAGCCCTGCATCTGGCTCTCGCTGACAGCACGGAGCCTGCTTAGGATTTTCTCTCTCCCTCTCTCTCTGCCCTTCCACTGCTTGAGCGCTCGGTCCCCCTCCCTCAAAGTAAATAAACTTTAACATTGCCAACTTGTGCTGTAATGTGTATTTGTGAATGATCATTAAATCAATTGATTGGCAGTTTCAAAAACAAGAAATGGGGCTCTAAAAAATGAACTTATTGACTGAATTTCTGGTGTGTATAAAGTTGTTCTTTGAATTCCATTTTCTGTCTTTATGTATATTTTTCAATTTTATCAGTACAGTTTTATCAATTTTCCCTTTTTTTGTACGTTGAAACTAGAATTCAGGCTTTGGGTGAGAAAGGAATTAAGTTTAACCTTTGCCATTAGTTCCCTAATGATTGGGTGTGACTAGAGGGACAGATTTTCTTTTGGGGGGGAATGGATGAGTGATTAACATTAATGCTGTTGAATGCATTCAAATAAAATGAACGGGCAGGTTTTCTTGAGTTGTGAGACTACTGATTATTGATCAGTCTGGACTTTTTTTTTTTTTTTTAGGCCAAGCCTATTTGTTTAACTAAAAGCAAACAAGTTCAGAAATCCACACACTGCCCTGGAGGGGTGCCTGGGTGGCTCAGTCAGTTAAGAAATCCACACACTGTCCTGCATATTGCATGTCCCGAATTCCAGCCTGGCCCTGGGACTTTGGCACCGCGAGGGCACACGAACAGAGCACTGGGAGAGGGTTGGCAAATCTGATGTCCCCCTTGGGCACAGAACAAGCAGGTGGTGTCCTCTGTTCTCCCTGCCCTCTGCCGGGCCGGATGGCGTGGGCTCAGGAGACAGACACCCAGCTTGCAAGAAGATGACTACAGCTCGAGGTGTCCCTTTGCTCTGGATCGGTGGTGTGGTCTGTGGCCAACCATTTATCTACAATGTCATTTTGTGTCTTGGTTCAGGCATAGAGTGTCGGATGAGATCATGAATATCAGAGGGACATTATTTTTTAGGAGGTGAGTGGAGGGGAGCCATTGCACTGTGCGTGCTATGGCTGTGAGTGTGGGTGACAAGTTTGCAGCAGCCATCCACTGTTCCCAAAAGAGAAGACAGGGCAAATACATTTCAAGGCTGTGAATGTGTATTGAAGGAGGAATGGCCTCCTCAGAAGAAAGATTGTCTTTCTAGATTTAAAAAATTCCTTTATGTTGCTTTGTCACAAACAAATATTTCACAAACATTTATCTCTTTGTATGCTCAGTTAAAATGGAGGCTATGTGGAGAGAGAGAGGCAGAATTCATATCAACATAAATTTTGGCGGAGGGGAGTTACCCTAAAAACATTTACACAATGCTATATGGTATACAAAGTTTTTTTTTTTTTAAAGCTTTATTTCTTTTTGAGACAGAGTGGGCAGGGGAGGGGCAGAGAGCGAGAGGGAGAGAAAGAATCCCAAGCAGGCTCCACGCTGTCAGCACAGAACCCAATGTGGGGCTCGAACTCACAAGTAGTGAGATCATGACCTGAGATGAAACCAAGAGTCAGATACTTAACCGACTGAGCCACCCAAGCACCCCTGCAAATGATTTCAAACACACTTTCTTTTCCTTTTCATACTACTCTAGTAAGTACATATTACTTTGGCCCTCCGTCAGTTGACAGATTAGAGGTGAGATTCAGAGGCTAGGTTACATGGTACAAGGTCATACATACAACCAGTTAGTGGCAAAGCTAGAAACATCTGTCATGAGCCAGCCCAGAACCTCTTAGTTTTATTTTAACTTTTTGGAATGTCTTGAAAGAGCACAATAATTAACCTCAGCTCTGTACACCAAAAGTTTGGCATGATGTGGCTGAACTCTCGGCTCAGCAACTGGCCAGACTAAAGATCAAGGTATTGGCCGGGTGTGTTGTCATTTGGGACTCAGAATTCTCTTCCAAGCTCACTGATTGTTGGCAGAATTCAGTTCTGTCTTATGCCTTTCTCGTGGTCTCATGTACCTTCAAGCCATGTTGAGTTGTCAAAAGTTCAGAAATAGCAGAAGAAAACCAATGAGTCTCCAATGTAATAATTACTAAAAGTTTACCGAGTGCACACCAGAAAGACAGTTTGCAAAGCGGAGCACTCACTGAAAGCAAAGCTTGGAAGGAGGCTTGGTGTTACGCTGTTGTAAAGCAGCTTTTGGAGTGAGAGAACAGTGACTCATCTTCACAAAGACTGGTTACAATATGAATTCATCAGTGGTTGCCTCATACCAGCCTCGGGAAGTAGTTCAGGTTTTGCATATAATTTTCAGAGGGAGAAGCAAGAAACAATTCCGGTCAAGTTAGTCTTGCAAAATAAGCTAAGCCAAGCTTTGTCTATATGACTAAATTGGTTGTAAACTGCAATTCAGGGAACTTCCAAGACTGGCCTCTCTTTTTTTATGTTAACAATTTCCTCTGTTGGCCATTCTCTCAGCACAGTGTTAGTCCCTGTTAGCACTGTTAATGTGGTCAGGCTGAAGAATCACACATTCAGTGTTTTCATCTGTTGAGTTGTCAGGCCAAGGGGTCATGTAGTCAACCCCTTCATCATCATTTCAGTGCTTATTGATTTCATCCAGTTGTCTAATCCTGACGGATACCATTTGGCATGTGAGTGGCTGTAGATGGGTGTTTAAAGCCATAGAGAATACATACCTTACTGGAGAGGTTGATATGATGGCCATAAAAAGAATAAGAGTCCAGGATTAAAAAATTCTCCAGAGCAGAGATCCCCAGGAACCAAGATTTAGCCAATTAAATAACTCAAATGGGTTGTCATTTTTCAACTACTTACATAGGCACAACATGATGTATTAGCCATCAAATATCCTCATGATTACTTAGGATGAACATGATGTTTTATTTCATCAGGAGGTGGTATTGCTGATAGCCCCCACTCCCCAGTTAGGCTTCTAAATGTGAGCAATCGGGCAATTTAAGGAGAGACATTTCTATGGAAATAAAAGGTAAACGAAAGGTCATGGTTCAAGCAAATTACAGAATTGGTTTCTGAGTTTGGAGAGTGACCCGTTGAAAAGGTTTCTGGACATTGGATTCTAAGCATCTTCAGATGGAGTGAGGACAGGCAGCGGTGATCTGTCCGATTTTCAGATTTGCCATGTGAATGTTACTGATGATTTTTCCAAGTGGCCACATTGCAACAGGCATCAAGTCCGCCCGGAAGCAGTTGTGGTGATTTTCTAAGAAGTTTATATCAAATAGTTCAGCTTTAGCTTCTATGGTTTTGGGGGAAAGGGCAA